GGGGGGGGGGGGGGGGGGGGGGCAGCGGCAGGGGGCTTCTACTACAAGGCACTGAGTCCTTCAGATGGCACCACCACCTGGTGGATGAGTTCACCCAACATGACAAATCTTAAATCTAGGATAACAAAACACAAGGCTTAATTAACACAGTTACAGGATCAATCTATTTTATTGATTCTCACTTACTACTGAAGTACAAAGTATTCAAATGGATTGGGTCTGTATAACACTCCAACACAAAAAACTAATCAAGGTTAAAACTAAGCATTGCTGTATTGTATGAATGCAGCCCCTAGGTTTTCACCCCACTCCTGGTGCACTGTAAAAAGATCATCAATATATATGTGAGCAAGGTGTGTTGTGAATGTGTATGTAAATGGAATTTGTGTATCTGGGAGGGGAACAGGAATGGCCCCACCTGTTGTTGGCATGCAGCCCTTCCAGGCATTATAGTTACAAGCCTGGTCTCTATCATCATCATCATCTATTACCATGTTTAGAGTTATAAAATTCTACGCAGAGTGAAGACAAGTGGGAAGAGGAGTTTCAAGCCCTCAGGGAACTGGGATTCAAAGTCATCCAGAAGCTAGATGGCTTCACTGGATGTCCTTACTTCATCAGCCAGGCATTCAGGACGGTCAGAAAGAAAGACATCTTTCTATAGTTAGCTGGGGCACTCACAGCCAGCAGATGTGGCAATGACCACTGGTTTAAGATAAGGGGAAAGTCTCCTTCAAGTTAAACTTGACCCTGTCTGATTTCAAAGGCACGCCCATGTAGTCTTCTTGACAATGAGGCCGAAGGGATTTGCAATTGCTTTCTGTTTTTTTCCACTTCCCAGTCTGGCTCAGAAGTCTTTAAAAAGGCTCCCATACATTCATGGACATCAGCCATTGTTCTCCATAAAGGCTATTAGGTATTAGAGCAGGGAAGAAACAGGAAAGCAGCAAGTGAGAACAAACTGTGGTCTTTGGGGCTATTTTTGAGTTTTCTAAAAGCTGTGGTGAAACTGGTTGAAACAGGATTCCACCTGGACCATTGCTCTGATTCACCAAAATTTTTAAGATGTTCTAATCCATGTTTTCACCCCAAAGGCCTCTCCTCCTCTCCATATTTTGTTTCTTTCCTAATGTGCTTTGCACCTACCACTTGACCCTTGGGTTAGAGCTTTTCTTAATTTTGCACATCACCTAGCAAATTGTAAGCACTTTGTACATCACTGTCACCCAGTTCCATAGCTGAGAATTTGGCATTGGTTCCAAATCTATTTTCCAAATAAATGTCTGCTGTTTATTCCAGGTATAAAGGCAAGGGAAAGATTAAGTCAGCTTTGCAAAGAAGGCAACACCAATCGTTACACCTCACCTGCAAAGAAATTCTTTAGGTTGCTAAGAGGTGGGACAACTATATTCCCACATTAGCCACAAAAGAGGGAACTCTCCTTTTGTTTGAGGCCAACACAAATTTATAAAGGAGGGCATTTACAGGCTGATTTTAAAAATCTACTTCCTAGTAAATGGGTTCAAGGATGGAGAAAGTAAATCCTCTTCTGCCTTTCCACTGAGTTTCTGAGGCTAGTTGTGGACTTGACAGACATCAACAAACAGGAAACCTGATAGGCTGCAAGACAGCTGCTGGCTCACCTCCTTGGAATTCCTGATCTCCTCTGGTGATCAGGTGAATTGTTAACCAAGATTGGTTAAGCACATCTGTACCACAGAACTGTATAACTTCACACTAATACAAGGGAAAGCCTATGCACCTTCATCAAAAAGCTTCCCCTGAGGATCACTGGTTCCCCACAAAATGGAATATTGGGAAGACCAGGATAAGGGTTGCAGTAATCCTTTCCCCCTTATTCCCTTCCCTAACAATGGAATAATCAGGCAACTGTGCCCACTTTCTCCCAGTCCTTCCTAATAGTACAGCATCTGGCAATCACCCCAGGCCTTCACCCACCCAAATCCTGAGGAGCTGAAGTGCGGAATAGCAAGAGAAATATGGGCTCCTGCATTTATGAAAAAGATGCATTACATGTAATCATTATCACCAAGTTTCTCAAGATGGCATCTGAAGCTCCAATGTGCTCACAGATATCTCCCTCTGGGCTTCCCTTCCATCATGGCTTTTTCCATTAAAATAATAATTTTTAACAAGAGGAAGCTGACATGCTGCTAAGCAAAGGACCAAACTCCCATAAGTTTCTTAGAAAATAAAAATGATGGGGGGCTGCAACTGAATGCTTAGTTTACAAGTGTTCCCACCTACCCCTAAACAGATAAAGATAGGAAGGGGCAAGTACCAAGGGAGCTTCCTGCAAGGGGGACGGGTTGCACTCTAGTACATGGCAGCCATTTTGTGAGTGTGCACATAAAATACTCTCAGTGTTCCAATGCATCCACCTGTCCCAAGATATGTCCAAATAACTATTATCTTTAGTTATTTAATACCAAGAACAAGTCCCTGCCCCAAGAAATATGCAACTGTTCCATCTTGTAGTTTTAAGCCTACAGCTAATAAGTAGACATTGCAGCAAACACCATTCCTGGTGGATGCAAGTACATATATGGTGGAGTCTGGTCTGCAAAAACAAATATTCATATATAGTACATAGCATGCAAATCTTTTCTAGGAGGAAGGAGACAGAACAATTTAAGTGTCTAGTCCACATAAAGGATGTCCACATTTGAAGAGATCTATAATCAAATGAGGCCAACTTTTTCTTGTTTTAAAGGTGCTGGGAGTTGCCATCTCTCACTTTAATAATCTCCTTTCTTCATTTGATACCTTTCAGCATATTTCCAAGACAACTCAAATCATTTCAGCAGAATGTATTTTCTAAATAAACACATATATTTATATGGCCACCTGTCTTAAGTACATAACTCCAGGCAATTAACAAACTAGCTCACATGAAAGAAAAACCATATAAAATCCCTATTAGCAAAACAGAAGCTCTAGTTTAAAATGACCCAATAAGGCACTGCATAACAAGCTCACAATGCAAACACACATATATTGGGCTCCTCTAACATCCTGACCCTAATGCCTGGAGAAAAAACCAGATCTTAACGGCTCTTTGAATCTCAGGGGAGAGGCTTTGATTCAGCTGAGAATGAGCAAAACACCAGCAAACAATGGGAAATAAATGCCAACAGAAACCATAAACAAACAAATAAAAGGCATACGCTGCCTTCGCCGAGTCAGTTTTGAATATCATCCTACCAACAAGGAAAGTGGACCCAACATGGTCAGAGAGGACCCTACTGAAGACTGCTTCATTTTCTATATGCTTCAGGGCCTCTGACATTTTCTAGCCTGCTTCTGCATCTTTCCTCCCCTCCCCCACAACACCAGCTGAAAAATTCAGCCGCCACGACAAAAGCACCTGCCAAGCTGCCAGGCAGGGTGTAGGTTGCTGCCTGCCAACAGGGAAACTGGAAATACAGCCTCACTTGGGCTGGAACAGGCTGTTCCCCTCCTGGCTGCAAAGAGAGCCGAAGCATGGGATTCTGGGAAACAGGTGTTTGGCTTTCCCACCTAGGTGGGTGGTGGCTGAGGCTGGATCGGAGAAGATGAGAGAGACGTGGCAACAGATGAGGAAAACCACCCAGATGGCCCAGCCTTTTCTAAGCCCGGCCTCATCTGGGCACGTTGGAACTGCCACTCCCAGAATTTCTAACAAAGCATGGCGCTTTTTGAGCTGGAAGATGTCCCACCATAGCTGGGTAAGAGCTGCTTCCCACTGACCGTTTCCAGCTTGCTCCATCACCTGTTATTTTCTTAGCCAAGAACAATTATGCCACATTTCTTTACATGGTACAGTCAGAAATCACATGGGTTTTGTGTGCACGCACACTTTGAGATCTTGTAAGTTTCGCTAAAGCCTGGGATTATCAGGAGAATAAGATCAATGGGAAGGGAAGACCTTTCCATAAGCCCTGTCTAGATAGTCCCTCCCCTTTGAAAAGCTCCTCCCCATCCTCAAAGCCCCACCCTTCATTGTCATGTATGTCTGCAAGAAGCCACCAGCTCAGAATACTGGAAGTATTTTCAAATGGCAAATGCCCATTAACCAGATTCATCTATCTCCAAGGTAGGAGTTGGCTTCATTCTCATCTAATACTGAGAAACCTTCAGGAAGGAGTCAAAGCTCCAAGAAGCTTCTTCCAACACTCCGAAGATGGGACAGGGGTTTGGAATGGAACTTGAACCTGGGTAGCCCTCATTGAAGTCCAACATCTCAACCACTACACTACATTGGTTCTACAGCATTACATTTGAGGGAATCTAGAACCATGCTGAAAAAAGATGTCTTCCAGTTATTTTTATCTCGACCCAGACCTGGAATCATAACTGAACAGAGACAATTGTTTAAAACGGTTTTCTCTCTCCACTGGATCCTAGATTCCTGCTCACAGTTCCATAATATTTAGCCCTTTGGGTTCAGCTCAGATGCATCTCTGCCTGCAAAGTTGCACTGTCTACAATCAAAAGGCAGAGGTGGAAAGGATGGTTGACATTCTGCCGAGACCTACAACTTGGAGCATTTTTGGAGAAGGAGGAATTAAGACAGGCAAAATTCACCATCTACCTGTTTGGAGTCAGACTTCTCTCCCCAGGGCTGAAAATCTCCTCATAATTTTGCCTGGAGTCCTGGCCACCCCTTGCAGCCTTCTTCACTTTCATTGGGTAAGCAAAGCTGCAGCTCTTTTGACCAAGTTTCTGGCTGGCTGCCAGGATAAGAAGGAAGGATGCTATGAGAGCCTGGAAGATGGGAAAGCCTCAATCCCTACATCAGCTCTCAGCCTGAAAAGAGACTTTATTGCAGAAGCAGCTGCATTTAAGTATTATTTCTGAATTGGATACCTGGTTTTAGATGGCTGAAGGAGATGGCTGAAGATCATGGCTGAACTAAATGGGAAAGTCAATGAGTGGGACTTCTAGATTTCTTTGAAAAGGAAACTTAACAGGCAATATTAAAATGAACAGATGGAAACAAACAGATTCCATGCTTGGTGGTTTAAATGCCTTTAAAGACAGACTGATGAGCGCATGGGACATGGCATCCATAAAAAGTGTCCTCCTCCACAAAAGAAAAAAATGAAAAGGGAATGTTGGAGTTCTTTTTTTTTTTTTGGTTAAATTTACCAAAGCATCAAATGCAGACAATGTTTTTTTTCCATCCTGGGAGGTGGTCACTCACCAGTTGCTCCCCTGACAGCACTTCCAGAAGGCGCAACAGCATCCGCCCATCTCGCAGGTCACTGTACAGATCACTGATGCGGCATGTGACCCGGGCCAGGTGAGAGTTGACCCATTTGGTGAATGTCTTCTTCTGTACAGCTTCTCGTTCATCTGCAAGGGAAAGCAAGCGTTCTAAGGGAGAAGGACTCAAAGCCACAACCGTTTAGAGAACCTTCCCTTCTCTAAATAAAGCCACCTCTGTGCTGTCAGCAAGGAAGGCTGAGCCCTTGTCACATTTGTGCAGCTGTTAAACAGGTGCCTATCTTTGGTCTACAGCCATTAGCTACGTTTCTGTGATGTCCCAGAAGGTCTGAAAAAGTTTCATTTGCCCCAAAGGAAGCATCAAGAATACACTTTTTAAAAAAATGCATATGCAGCTGTTGAGATGGAACCAGAGGCATCCATAGGGGGTTCAAAAAAGTCAAGATGGAGGCTGCAGTGCCGCAATCGAAAACCTGCAGCTTTATTAAGTGTTTTTTTATATGCAGCACATGTAAAAAAAGAACAGAATCTCAATTACATAGTTATAGCCACAATCCTGACTTTTTGATTCCTCTGTGGATATTCTTGCATGGAACTGAAAGCTCAGCTTAGAAGGGGGCACAACATGTGGGCAAGGGGAGACAGATCATTTTTGACAATGTTAAAAATTTATTCCTTGCCCACCAGGCATATTTTCAAAAATGATTTCCCCAGACCTAACCACTCTGACTCTGATTCAGTGGTGTGGTTTACTGTTGCTCTTCATACAGAAGGCCCCACATTCAATTTATTTTTATTTATTTATTTGTCAAATTTATATGGCCACCCATCTCACACAAAATGACTCTGGGTGGCGTACAACAAAACCAACAATTAAAAATGTTCTACAAATCCAGTTAAAAACAATTAAAACAATAAACATAAATAAAACAGGACCGCAAGGGGGGAAAATAACATAAAATGTAGCCAAAGTGTGGCCTCCCTACTACCAGGGGATCCCGAGGATCCCCCAATTCCCAGTTTCTCAATTCATTTAACAGAAAACAAGTGCTGGAAAAGATTTTTCTCTGCTGGAGGTCAGACAGTACCAGAGAGGCAAGCAGCATGAACTGATCCCCAATGCCTTTCTGGTTCCGTTACAGTCTGCTGCACCCAAAATTCTTGGTTTCTAGGTATGAACAGGTAAGAAAGATCCATCCAACTGGATCTGCCAACATGATCCCTATATTCAGATCTCTTGTTACAGCAGAATTGGGAATGTAATTCTAATATCATTGATTTTTTTTAATCCAAGCAACTAATACTGTGCTTAGTTATAAACACATCATAAAATAACACTCCTCCTCCTCCAGCCAAGGACTGGCACATGGCTATCTATAGGGTGCACTGTTGATCCTATTTTCCCCCAAGTTTCCCTGTCCCCACTGCTTTGCCTCCTTGCTGTCACAGCTTGTTCACCCTTCCAAGCATGCAAGCAGTGACAAGAGTAATAAGAGCTGAACGCTGTGCTCTCCCCTTTAGCATGGGCATAGAGGAGGTACAATTACACAAAGATGATGAAGAGGTGGGAAAAGACCAGAGAGCTCACATAAGCGGCAGCCACCACTGAATTGGGGTAGGAAGGAAGGGGCTTCATTTATTCGAATGTATTTAAAGGAGGGGGATTTTTTTAAAAAAGGGATTGACCAGGAGACAGTGACATGCAGCCAGCACCTGTTCAAAAGTAACAGGAGAAGGCAAGGTTGCCAACCCTTATTTGAATTAAAGATTTTTTTCTTAATTAAAATGGCTGCATTCTCTATTCATGGCATTAATCATAAACATGTTCATCTCTTAATTTTTATACTGCAAGATAGCTTCATAACCACTCAGGACTGCCATCTATGCTCTTACTGTTCATATGCCGAGGCTTTTTAAATCACTGTTTTCATTTTGAAAAGCTTAAATGATAGTTATAAAATGCTATAAGCCAAGAAAAACCGTTTTTGGAAAGATTTGATCCAGAACTATAATGTTACCTTTTGCCCCTAAATGAAAAACAGGCAATCAATTAATCAATCAATCATTGTTTATATAAAGACCTAGTATTATTCTTGAAAAGGAACTTGGTTGTAGTTAAAAACTGTAATTTATCATTGTTCTTAAAAATCAAGGAGAAGGAGGAAAAGGAGGAAAAGAAGAAAGAAATTTGGTTGCAATCATATTTACATTACAAGGATATGAAGCCCAAATGATATCAGGTACCTTACTTCTAAATTAGATGGTGTCTGGAAACTGTGCTTCTTAAACAACAACCAAACAACATATATTTTTTTAATGAGAACTTCTATCACTGCATCTTTTAAAATTGAACTAAAGCAAACTTTAATAATACTGTTTACTTTCCCTTCCATTTTATACAACAATTATAGATCTTAATGAGGTTCATGAGCTTGCATATAATGTCTTCTTTCATCAAAGCCTGGAGGGAGGTTTATTAAAGAAAGCTGCAGAATTCATGTAATGTTCAGTCTATTTCAGTATTTGATCTTGGTTGCAGTGAATGTGGAAATCCACTTGCACTTTCAAGTTCTTCTAATGATGTTTTTTCCCTGTGGTTTCAACATGACATTCAAGAAGAGATCTGCCAATACCCTTTTTGATCATGAAGACAGTATTTCTGGGCTAGTGAATTCCCTGAAAGCAGTGTTTCTCAACCTTGACCACTTGAAGATGTATGGACTTCAACTCCCAGAATTCCCAGCCAGCCATGTGGGCTGGGGAATTCTGGAAGTTGAAGTCCATGCATTTTAAGTTGCCACGGTTGAGACATACCACCTGAAAGTATTTCTTTTAAAAAAATCAACAATTCTTAAACGTTTATGAAACACTGTTGTAAATGATGAACTTGGATGTTACACTGCCTACATCTGTGGTCTATTTAGCGTCATCTCCAAATCAAGATTCCTGACAGCAAGGCAGAGCCAAACCCACCATGACTTCAAAGTTTGGTTTGTAAGGAGAGTCAGAAGCCTTAGGCACCCTTTTTGTGCCTAATACTAAACAAGCTACAATTAGAGGTTGCTTGGTTCGTTTAGTTACTTCTACTGGTAGAAAGTCCTAAAGGGATGCAATTGAGCAGTGTGCACACTGACCAAGTTGCTCATTCATGGCAGGTTACTGCACCAGGGAATGGAAAAGCAAATATTAAAAATGGCCTTTCCCATTAACAGGGTACCATATGTCTTTGTTTGCTTATGTGTTCCTTCCAGTTTCTCAGAAAGCATTCTCTGTTGGCACCTGGGTAATATGCAAATCTACCAGCATCAATGAACAGGTTAAAAGGTAGTTCATCAAATAACTAAATCACGCTTATTGGTTGATGGGCAGTATGGTTCAGTTCCCAATGCAATCTATAATTTCTTATCAAGGAAACCTTCTGCATTACCCTTTAAGATGCCACAAAATTCTCCCATTTGTTAGGTGCCAGGCAATACCAACTCTCATTGTCCCAGGTGATGGTATATCTGAGGCCTCTTTTATCTACAGTACTTTAATCTGGACTGTAATTAAGACAATCCCCAGTTTAAATCACTACACTCCCATGAACTTACAAGATGTCTTTGGGCAAGTCACTCTGCCCTCAGCCCCCACTTCTCCAATCTGCAATAGGGGGAGTTATCATTCTCTTGCCGGATATGGTTGTCCTCATAATGACACATCAATAATACAAAAGATATGCTTTGAACATGTGAAAGTGCTATACAGAGGCTGAATATTAATATTTACAAGTGAAGTTGGCAACAAATGGTTGCTGAATGAAATCCTCCAACTCAGGATATTTGGTTACATGTCCTCTTTTTCCTCATAGCCAGCCAGTGCTATGTATGCTCATTCTACAATAGGCTGCTTTGGGGGAATGGGATCTCCATGCAGATATACAATATGAGGCTCTCCAAATGCTGCTGAACTACAACTCCAAGCATCCCTCACTATTGGCTAAGGCTGCTGGGAATTATTTATCTACAGCTGGAAGTTGTGTAGACGTATAGTTCTGCAGCCATGGAGTTTCTCTGAGCCTGCCAGATTCTCCCTCTTGTGCAGAGACAGGAGTTTTTGGCTATCTAAAGCAGTGGCCCTCATCTCTAAACACTAGAAACAGAGGGAGTCACTTCACTGTATTTTACCAGTCTGGGTATAAATCCTTCCCCTGCCTGTTATCATTTTATTGATGGGCAGGCTCTATAAATACATTTTAAAAATCTGTCCAGCAGGTTTACAGTTCAGGAATACAGTTCCCCTGAAAAAGGAAGGCAAAACATAAGAAAGGAGCCTGCAGTGTCCCAAGCTGCTAAATACAATTTTAGTGTTATTACAGTTTAGGGAAAAGAAAGAACAGGGAGAAGACACTTATTCTACCAGAGAGGAGCAAACTGTCCTCCAGATTTGGTGGACTACAACTCCAATGGTGCCCAGCACATCAGGATAGCATGAGAGTGGAGCTGGATGGCAGGTAGTAGAAGCAAGTCACCCGAGTCCTCTCTCAAATCCAAGACTAGTAGCTAAGGAAGTGAGGGTCAAAATGCCTGGCTTTTGAGCACCCTCCCCAAACCTGGGATAACTGGCACTCTGCATATGCTCTGCAGCATTCTCCTCTCATAGTATTCTAGGCGAAAATCCCTCCGCCCTTGCAAAAGGAGCCCCCCTCGTTAGGCTTGGGCTAAGGCAATCCTGTCAACTCACTCAGGATTTATTGTTGTTGTGCATAAAGCATGCATTTTATGGCCTTCCGCACAGCTGGCATTTGCCCTGCAGCTCGAGCAGATGCTGCACCTCTGCCCCAACCTATCGTGGGTATCCAAGGTGCAGGAAGAGTCAACCGCGGTGGGGCCAAGGGTTCAGCTCGCCTTTTAGGTTGAGTCACCAGGACATGTCAGGGCAGGGCTGGGCTGGGCTGGGCTGGGCTCAGCTGGGTTGAAAGGAGAAGCCCAGTTCCATCTCCAAGTGCTTTGGAGAGAAGGGAAAGGAAAGGTCACTTGTGCCCGCCTGGACCTTGCTGGACAGAGAACCCAAATGGACCTTCTGCCCAGCATTACTCAGATTAGCCAGCTGTCTGGAAGAGAGGCAGGCCTGATGCCAGAGCTGTAAAA